CAATTTTAAACTGGAGCAGAGGAACACCCAGGGCCTGCTTTACACCCCACTGTAATCATGGTTTGCTTAACCATGGTTTATTGAATAATCCCCACTGATGGGGTTGTTGTTAAGCTACAAGTAAAAATTCCTGTGATAGCTTAAAGCAGTGTTTCTCAACCTTGGCAACTTTAAGAAAGGAGAACTCCACCCCCAAGATTTCCCCGGCCAGCCTTGGGGAATTCTGGGAGTTGAAGTTCACATATCTTAAAGTTGCCAAGGTTGAGAAACACTGCTTAAAGCTGTGTGTGAACTCAGCCAATGTTCCATAACAAGGGAATGGACAGCACACGCACACACTGAAGGCGCCCCCCACATGCCCAATGAAGGAGCTGATCAATGTGGCCACTACACTTGATAGTGATCAGTGAGGAGACCCAGGAGGGACCTAAGTAAATGCAGGGTGGATAAATCTTGGCCAAGGTGTGGAGCGTTTTCTAGACTAAGGTCTAGACCTGATCTTGAAGAACATGTGGAAGGCCATGCTCCAGAAAGTGTTGGGTGGGGCCACACAAAAACAGACTTTGATTTAATTCTATGCACCTTTAAAATGAATTAGAATTAAATCTAGTTAATGTGTTTATTCTCCTGTCCTGTCTTTAACACGCTTTTCTTTCTCTTGTGTGAAATGTCCCAACCGGTGAAAGAGCGTTTGGAGGTCCCTTCCAAACTTCGTGGAAGGCAAAGACGGGGAAGGTGGGGCTGGTCTAAATACTCACAGGATCGTGATGACTTGGATGAAGTTGAGCGAGATGTTGTTGAGCTGGGCGATGAAGACAGCAGCCACGCACTGGAAGAGGGCTGCCCCATCCATGTTGACGGTGGCGCCAATGGGGAGAATGAAGCGGCTGATGTGCTTGGAGACTCCATTCTTCTCCTCAACGCACTTCATCATCAGGGGCAACGTGGCAGAGCTGCATGGAGGAAGCAACAGAGCAGGACTCAGCAATCATATCCTCCAGAGAAGTTCTTTGAGGTTCAGGCATTCGAAGGGCCACTCACCTCATCCTGCCTTCAAAAGCATCTCTTCCCATGATCCACTCTGCTCTTGAGCACCCAACCAACACCCAGGATCCCCACACTCATCCAGAATGAATTCAGCGATCTGTTTTCGGTAGGTTGCCTTGAGAACAGGGAGTTCCCCTTAAAAGGGGCACCTGCACACTGAAATCAGTTCAAACAGGACCTTCAAAAAGGTCATCCCCAAGGAAGCAAAGTGGAGGGTCCCCAAAAAAGACAGCACATTGGCAGGTTGGTGTGTCCACAGGGTGGTCAATGAAGCCAAGATGGTGGCCACAATCACACAATTGAAGCTGTCAACTTTCCTGACCTCCTGCGTGACAACCAGGATGCCGAGATGAGCTAAATTCAGGGATCCTCTTAACATGAAGCCTGTATCCCAATCAACCAAGCAAATATCTTCTCCTATGGCTGTCCGTCCATCCGTCCCACCCACCTCCTGCCTCTCTGCAGCTTCAGCCGGCCTTTTAATACCTGGAGGAGGTGCCAAAGGCGGTGGCCAACGGAGTGAAGATGCCCCACAGGAAGCGATATGGGTTCCTGCGGGTGAAGACAAAGTAGATCCCCGGGAGAACCAGCAGCCCATGGATGGCATGGCCCACCAGGCAGCAGCAGATGTATTTGCCCAGGCTGGTGAAGAGAAGGACCACGTCTTCCATTTCCACAATCTTGCCGGCCACCAGGAACATGATACCCAAGGGGGCGTACCTAGGAGGGAGAAGAGGCTGTCAGATCCAAAATGCAGACCAAGAAGCGGAGGAAATACCAGGGTTGGGGTATAGCAGGACCTGGGAGAAGGGTTCCTCCCAGCTGTGACATTTGCTGGCTTGATTCTCACAAAATGCTAAGCTGTAAAGTGGCCGGTTTGGGCTTAGTGTATGGTGGGAATACCGAATCAGCAGACCGTGGTTATAGTTTATGGCAGGGTTTCCCAACCTGCTAGAAATTCTTAGTGCCTCTGGAGGGCATCTGGTTGGGGAAGGCTAGATTAGGGGGCTGAGTCAGCCTAAGAATTATGGCTTATTCAGTAAACAATGGTCAAACAAGTGGATCCAGCCTCTGGATAAGCTCAGACTTGGTCCTCATTCTCAGCTAGCCTCCCTCGCAAGGTTGTAAAAACCCGACAAAACCCCCAACCCCCCGTTTCTTGTCATGATGGTTGCAGGCAAAAGCGGGTTCCATTTCAGAAACTGAGGGGATGACAACGTCAGGATCTGATGCCTCTCCTGGGACAAGGAAAACTGGACGATAACCCACAGCAAGAAGCCGCCCAGTTAATTTCCCTAGCCTGCAAATGGTTCCAGTCTCAGAACCCAGCTCTGGCTAAAGGAAAGTCGACGGGCACCGGAATGACCCAGGAAAGCAGATTTGAGCAGGAAACGGCTCAAAATTCTGAATTCAAGGCGTCCCAAGGGGCTCTGGGGCAACTTTCCTCAAAGATGAGTGACCCAGGAGAGTGGGAGTTCGAGGCGCCTTACCACATAATCCACGAGACCAGGATCATGGTGGCTTCGTTGAAGGAGTTGAAGAATTTGATCAAGTTCTCCCCTTCGGCCCCGAGCTTCCGCAGGGCGATCCCGAAGACGATGGCGAAGACCACCAGGCCGAGGATGTTCATGCCTTCGACCTCCGTGCCGGTGGGGACCTGGCCGTGGAGAGGAAGCCATCAGCACGCCCCGCCCAAAGATTAATCCCATCGCAGCAAAGTCAAAATCAGGGATGGCGGAGGAGGAAGACGTTTGGGGCCTCTGGAAGCGTCTCTGCAAAGCAGCCCTCCCTCTGATCTGGGGGGAAATCTGTTGGACTATAACTCCTATCCTCCCCAGCCAGCGTGGCTGTAAGCTGTAAGGAGCGGGACCGAAACGCAACTGGAGACTGGTGAAGTGAAGGAGCCCTCCCGTGTCTAGAAGTTTCCCCTGGCCCCTACCAAGTCCAAGATGACGCCATCCTCCCCATCACCCCTCTTCCTCCCCTGCCCATTTCTATTATTTGAAAAAGCCTTTAGGGATGATGTAAAGGAAGGCAAAGGAGGGAAGGTCTTTCTTTGCCCAGAGACCCCCAAACCTGAGTGGGGTGGACCAATCATCCTCCGGTTCCGAACCTTGATCCCCTCCACCAGGGCTAGAAACTTGAAAAAGAATGCATTACACGGCATTCTCGCTTTTTTACCATCAAGGTGGTTTCATTGATGTATTCTGTTTCGTTGACAAATCCTGCCACGCTGAGGAGTTCAGTGTTATTCTTCTTAATTATCACTTTCTTGTAGCTAGTAGCATACTACAAAGGGAAGCACAAAAGATTTTCTTGTTGTTGCTCCGTGTTTGCTGGGAAATAGGGTTTGGGCACTGGCGAGACCCACCCTGGCAACTGTATTATGAACGGGCAGATCTTCCCTGGTGACTGTTTGGCAAAAGTGCCAACCACATGCCCTCACAAGACCCAACAGGCCCCCCTGCCCGAACAGGATGCCCACATAAATATGGGGATAAAAAGAAGCCCCTCCCTCTGGCAAAGTCCTCTTTGGGGGGCAAACTGGCAAACAAAAGCTGTGCGTGTCCTGGATAATCGGTGCCAAGAAAGAGAATCCCCATTGCCACTTTGGGCTGGCTTCTGCGATGGAAGGAAGGAAAGGCGCTAAATAACTTGTCATTTCTGCCTCCAGCAAATGGCAAAACCGCCTGACAGATTTATCTCAGATGATTGCACCACTAAGAGGCACGTGAAAAATGAGATGCAATTTCAGGACAGAACCATTAAACTCAGGAAGAAGTCCATCCTGTGTCCAGACATTGGCCTTTATTAACACGGCTATTAAAAATTAAGCCAAATTGGCTTTGCGGTCCTGTGTCCCAGAGAGGATGAGCGTGCCAGGAAACCTAGTTAATAAAAGCTGCTGTGATTTTTAAACGATTAGGCAAGACAGAGGGTCTTGAACAAGCTGTGCGGAGAGGGTGGGGAGGTACAAAATGTCACACGCGCACACACAGAGGTTATCTGTCAAGACAGAAACCCTGGGCTTTCTCTGGCTTGCAACCCCCTTCGTCCAAGCGTTGGGGCAGAGAAACCAGAACCTCCGCACGCAGAAGACCCATCAGCCAGCTCCTAACATCTCTGCTTAACTGTCCCTCACCAGTGTTTTTGGCAAAGGGACATCTTCTCACCCGCCCACTCTTTCTGGAGGACCGGCTTCGGAAAAATTCTGGCTAACGAATGCAGATCGCTCTTTTCTTTAGGAAAGGCCACACCGGTAAGGCAACTGGACAAAGTCATTCTAGGTCACGGATGCAGCGTGGGCTGTCATCAGACGTGGCGACGGCCCCCGATTTAGTTTGTTTCAAAAGAGCGCCGGACAAATCTGCAGCAGGTCGGATTATCGGCCGCTCTTACCCCGAATGACAGGAGCTTTTCTTCTCAATCACAGCCCCTGAGCTCAAAACCAGCTGCACGCATCGCCGCCGGCTGGCCCAGGAGCCCGGAGAAGGCGCCCTTCAGCCTGATCCCGCCTCAAAGCTCTCCCTTCTCTTTTGGACAACCCTTCGCTCGACCGAGCAGGAGCCAGCTTGCAGGAGCAGGAGAAGGGAAAATGGCAAGACTCACCGATCGGAATGCAGCGGACACCAAGTTGGAAGGGAAGATGTTCCTGGGTGGGAGAAGGAGGAGGAGAAGACATAAGCAGGCATCCAGGGAGAACGTTGCTCTTCTTCCCCAATAATATACCCCTAAGCCTCTTTGGGCAGCCAACCCCACTGCGCCTCCACCATAATCCCAATTTTCCGTCCAAAGATTGTCCTGGGCGTTCCCCACAGGGCTACTATGGCTTGCAAAATACAGGAAAAACCTTCCCCACTTAAAACCACCAGGCACTCCCGCTAAAGTAAGTAATCAGCAGCAAACATGCCCAAAACTTTTTGTCTGTTGTTTTCCCCTCCTTGTATATTTAGGGCAGTCATCCTTTCTAGCACATAACAGTCTGGAAGCCCGCTCTTCCTCGCCCTGGGCAAATAACAATTTAGAATTATTTAGGCCGAGCTTGTATCGAAATGTTCGGGGTTCTCCCCAGCTGGGTCAGAGCCCCAAAGACATCAGATCCAGCAAATTGTGGGCAGCCCAAGATATTCAGAATGTGAACGTGGTCTAGCAGTGATGAGGCGACCTAGCTGGGTCATGAAACGTCCGCAAGCAAACCACCAAGCTCAGAGACCACCAAGGACTCCACCGTTCATCCCTGAGCTAGAGATCCTCTTCTACTGGAGTTTGGAACATGGGCGTTAATGCAACAGCCCTCCTCTGCTCCTGATCCTCAAGAGATCGGCTCTCTCTCTAGCCATCACAGCGAACTGCCAAGTCCCTTCCAAGGTCAGCCTCCTATTGTGCAATCTCACCCAGTGGTCTTTCCTACTGCCACCCCGGCTCTGCCCTTTCCATTTCTAGCCCCCAGGTCAACCGGGGAGCCAGCATTCCCTTTGGCCCACCTGTTTGCGCAAGCACGCTGCCTGCAAGAGATCGCAGCGCCTCGGCCAAGAATAAACTGCTGGATGCCCTAGTGCTGCGGAGATCAGATATCAAGGACTTAAACTTTGTTGACCAGGACCTGGCCCACTTCCCACTCTAATCACTGCCCCCCCCCCCCCCCCCCACGCACACACCTTTTGCCCCCTCTACTTCATCAGTTCTGGACATGACACCACCAGAGGACAAAATAAGATTACACCCTAATCCCCAGAGGCTGAAAATAACCAGCTGGCTGCTCCCCCTTGGAATTGGATGCCACCAAAGGAAGTCCAAGAGAACCTCTTCATTCCAAAGGCCGCCACAGCCAACCTCCTCTTTCCTGGTTCTTTTCTCACCTGCTGATGGCTTGTCTTAACCCCCAGCTTGCCTAAAATACAACGCTGTGCAAGGGAGGAAGGACAGGACAGCTAATCCTCAGAAAGGGAGAGGCGCAGTCTAAGAGCATCGCTGCTGGAGCAGGCCCACGGCTCCTCTTCTCCACCATCTTGCTTAATGTCAGCCAACTGGCTGAGAAGCCCCTCCAAGCACATCTGCACTCCTCTGCTCATGCTCCCCTGCCCCTGGCATTCAGTGGGCAGGGATACCCATTGCACGAGGCCATGATCTGCTGACCAAGCCCACCTGAATGGGCTCACCCAAACGTTTCAGCCATAAACCATGGCTGGCAACCTTCAAGCTGGCTTCCCCATGACAGCTGAATGTGAAATGCAAAGCCAGCCAGTTCCTCTTGAATCTGGAGGTTGTGTTGACCTACACACGCCGGGCATTTCTTCCCCCCGCCCCCGAACCTGTAATATCTCCAGACTGTACAGCAGTAAAACCATCACGAGGGTTGGTCGTCTGCCCTGAATTGCTGGCCATTCATTTTTATGCTTGGCTCTTCCGGCCACGCATGTGTAAATAATAGCTTGGCTTTTCCTTGTCTGCATGGACTTAAAGTTGGGCAGACCGGGATCAAGAGTCATTTCAGGCCTTTTTGGAGGCAAAAAGAGGAGACCAGAGGCAGAAGAACTCAAGGGTCAGAAGGATGTCCTCATGTCAGCCACTGATCTCCCCAAGAAGATGCGACCCGCAGAAGCACCTCAATACAGCACAGGAGGAAAATACTACCATGCCACCCCACGGATGCCTCAAGCACCTTTTCCTTCTTTTTTCCAGTTTCAAGGCAGCACTGGCGTCACCAGGGCAGATGGCAGGGAAGGAAAGATTCTCCAGCAGCATTTCAGGGGCATTTATCAGGTGGGGCCAAAAAAATCAAGGGGGGAGCCCCCTCCCATGGACGCCCCAGAGAGGGGCAAGGATGATGATGGTTACGTGCCATCAAGTCATTGTGGACTCTTAGCGACCACATAGAATGATTTCCCCAGCAGGATCCATCCCCAGCCTGGTCCTTCAGCTCTTCCAATGGTGCCCCCATCGCTGCTGTCACTGAGCCCATCCTCCTTGCTGCCAGTCGTCCTCTTCTCCTCTTTCCGTCCACCTTTCCCAGCATCAGAGCCTCCTCCGGAGAGCTGGGTCTTCGCATCATGTGTCTGAAGTAGGATAATTTGAGCCTGGTCATTTGAGCCTCATGTGAGAACTCTGGGTTGATTTGTTCAATGATCATCGGTTTCCTTTCTTGGCTGTCCACAGTGGTGATTCTTAAAGGCCACATAGATAGACCTCCAGGATGATCTGTCCTAACTCAGCCCTTCAGGTCTTGCTGTAACTGAGTTCCTCCCCTTTGCTGCCAGTCGTCCTCTTCTCCTCTTTCCGTCCACCTTTCCCAGCATCAGAGCCTCCTCCAGAGAGCTGGGTCTTCGCATCATGTGTCCGAAGTAGGATCATTTGAGCCTCATGTGAGAACTCTGGGTTGATTTGTTCAATGATCATCGGTTTCCTTTCTTGGCTGTCCAGTGTGTCCTCAGGAGTCTTCTCCAATGCCAAGTTCCAAAGTCCCAATACCCTTTGCCAAACGCATTCCACCTCCTTGCAACATCCAGCTGCACCCTTAAGTTGATCTCTTCTGAGCCTATCAACCTCTTGTGCTCCAGGTGCAACCAAAATAAGTCCCAGGACCCCTTGATTGAACAATGTCACCTACTTCTCCGTTGCAGCGCCTGCCTTCAGAAGCAGCATCACCCGCCACCCCGAAGATCCACAGGCTCCCGCCCTGAGGATGCTCCAGAAGTCCTCAAAGACCTGGTTGTTCTCCCAAGCTTGTGGGTGGGATCGGTGCCGAGCCCCTGTGGCTTCAGGGTTTTTTCCAAGAGTGTTTTTACGGTCTTTCATTTTATAATGGGAGATGCCCAGCTGTCTAGAGCTGGGCAGCCTCTAAATTTAAATAAATACCAAAATGCTGCTCCTAAATGTCCCCATTCCATTCCCACACATCTCCTGAACCTCCTTCTCTCCTTCTTCATTTTATCTTGCTACAAAAGATATTCCTTCTATCTCCTACACAGGACTTCCAGCAACTCAGAATGTTCTTCTTCCTCCTATTGCACCTCTCGAAAAAATCTACCCAAAACTGCGCCCTCAGAACAAGGCCGAAGGTAGATTCAAACCAGGAGTTGCTTCCAGCTATGAAAAACAGACCCAAACCTCGTCACCAACCCTTGTTGTTGACAGAGGAGCAAGCAGAAAACTGGTCTTGTTTCGGACAGACAGGTTCAAGAAATGTTTTTTGGCAGACAGTCCACTTTTGCAGGCTGGGAAAACATGTGCTCTCTTGCCTTCAATCGCCGCTGGCTTGCAACTGATTTGCGGGGGTGAATCTCTTGCTCTGTTTACCTGGACAAGATTTGTGTAACCCACCGATGGGCCTTTAATCTGGGAGGGGGCCTCACACAAGCCTCCCTGCTCAGCCAGTTTCTTGTCGGCTTGTGGCCGCAGAAGGCAAAGGTGGCGACGGAAATTTAATTCCAAGGCCTTTGCGACTTCCTTCCGCCAGAAAGCAGGAGAGCCCACGGGTATGGAGCAAACTCGAATGACAATGCAAGTACTTCGAAGAGAGATTATCCCACAGCAGGGGAGGGCAAGGGTGTCTGCAGCCCCCCCGGGAGGTTGCACTGCACAGAAATCCAGCGCTGCAGGAGCAGGAATGCCAGATGCTTTCAGGGTTGAACCAAATAAAGAAAGTAGCGTCTTCCTTGAGCACAGCGAAGAAGAAAGCCCAAAGCACCTGCCTCAAAGCCGTGAAAATCCCAGCCTTTTCTACAAGCAATTCGGCCCTACCTACTCTCTTCTATCCCTAAAGTCCTTGTTCCCCCCAAATGCGGTCTGCAGTTCCCCCAACGTTCCCCAGCTTGCTAGATGCACGGATGCAACTGAACACCCAAAGGCCTTTTCTGTTTACTGAGTCAATGTCTGAAAATCTGAAACTATTTGCTTTTCAGTCTTGAAATAACTGGTCCTCCCGCCATAAATGAGATTTTTATGCAGGGGGAAAGGCTCCTTAAGAAAACCAGCCTACTTGCCGGCTGGCAAAGGAACTCAACAGCAGGATAATGTTGCATCAGAATCCGAGACAAACCGCTGCCCTCCAGCAACGCCCCTTTTGCAAAACTGCCAGGAAACGGCATGGAAAATATCTGTTGCAGATGAACGACTCCATTCAGGGCACTGATCCACCGGATCAGCACCTCTACGTAAAGCTCCCAACTTAGGGGAAGATTAGCTAAATCTTCCCTCCCGCCCAGATTTTTTAAGCCCCTTCTTTTCCTGCAGCAGATGTCGAAACGCCAGGTTTATGATTCACAGTCTCCATCACTCTAAACTTGGAAATTCTGAGTTTTGTGTAATACATATATCCGAAGGATCCCGTAGCCGTGAGCGGTCTACAGGGAAAGAAGAAACAGATCTGGCTCAGCAATGTTCAATGGCAGGTGGGAGCCCAGATAACTGTCCTTCCTGGACTTTACAAAAGAAAAAAGAAAAAAATGTCCAGGTTTGAGAGGGTAAAAAGATGGGGAGAAAATTCCGAGCACGTGGAGGCCGGTCAGATGAAACCAAGTGCATCGCTACCCACGTGTCACAGTATGAGCAATATTATTTATTTAACATACTATTTATTTAAAAAGAAAAAAAAGCTGAATTGCAAAAGCCACGCACGTGCCAATCATTTTGGTCGTACGACCACTTTGAAATCTGCAGATTATCCAGAGAGAGAAGCAAAAGCCAAATGCTCTAAAGCAGTGTT